AAATCCGAGTTATAACGAAGAAGTTATGACCTGTTGAAGTTTCGCGACAAAGCCGGTGCGACACTATATGACGTAAATAGTGAGTTTACGATAGAGCGATATTTAGCCTTAGTGATCTAAACGAAAGTCGTAGAATAAGTTAAACCGAAAGCGTGCATAAAAAGAACGTCTAAATCTGACTTCGTATGAGGAAGTTATGATTTTTCGAAGTTTCGACTTAGCGGTATGCAGCCCAAAGTTCGAATATGAGATCGAGTGATTTTTAGCCGAAACAATCTAAACGAGAATCGAAGATCTCGTCGATAGTAATGCAACGGTAAAAAGACAAACGAAAACGGACGTCAGATGATGAAGTTATGAATTTCTAACGGAGTTTTCCTGTCCCGGCCTACTAAAAATAATATAATAAAAGTTAAAGTCAAAATTAGCCGACGGAGTCTAAACGAGAGTTGTAGATCATAATCTCACCTACGCGTGCATATAAAAAACGTCTAAAACGGAGCTCGTATGCGAAAGATATGAATTTATGAAGTTCGGGGCACGAACTTCAACCCCTGTGTCAGAGCTCACGATGTGAGCACAGTGTTCACGACGTGAGCAGGTGATGGACATCTTCCAGGGCAAGTGGCCTGATGACGAACACCATGACATCGAGCTCACAACGTGAGCATAGTTTTTCAGCCTCCTATAAATAGAAAGCAAGGCCAGCCGTTTAGGGTTGCCAATTTCTTTCCTCTCACTCCATATTACCTCGATTTACGTGCAAGTTATACCCCCGAAGCCCCGGTATCATCCCGAAACCCGAAGCAAGTCCCGAAGCACCGAAGATCCCGAGAAGAAAATAGTTTCTAGCCGAAGCTCTGCCCGCGAGAAGCCCGGTATGTGAAGATATCACAGTTTCATCGAAGAATACCACTTTAAGAGTCGTAGTACTGTCCGAGCATCGTCTTATCAAGTGAGTGCATAGTCCCTTTCATATACACGATTTTAATACAAGTATCGATTGAATGTATTAGGTATATGTTTTATGTGAGTGTATTATTGATATCTTCTAAACGCATAGATATGATTTATTCTCTATGAAATACGTGTTATGTGTATATGTATCATCTGTTATTTGGAATGAGTATTGAATGAACATGCAATATAGGTTTTAAACTATGTATAAAATATGTATATTTTATCTACTAATATGTTGGGTAGAACATGGGTAGATAGTTGGTGTATGATGAAATAAAAAGATATGAGGCCTCGATGTTGTTGTTGATCTAGTCATCTAGCGGAGTATGGATGACGACCACGGACTCTTTCTAGACAGTCCAGTGGAACGCTGGCAGGTTCATAACCTGTAGGTGTTGTGAACGATGTGTTCACCAGTGTACTCTATCCCCCTCATGGTTGCCTTTAGGACATCTATTGTTGAGGAAACCCCTTTGCAGTAATGTCCATCCCAATGAAAAATCCTAGACTAGATCCCTCATGATAGTTGTTGTTTTAGGGACGTAAAGTGAGGATAACGGGAATGGGTAATTGGGTTATTGTTGGTTGGTGAAATTAAATATAATTATTTATTGTGGGTTGAAAACCCAATATGCTCACCAGGCTCCCAAGCCTGACCCACTTAGTTTTATTTGTATTACAGGTAGTGGCGCGAGAGCATAAGTTGGACAACTTGTGAAGATATTTTGTTTATAGGCCAGTAGTTGTATATAACTGTTTTAAGGCTTATAATGTGCCGTTTATGCTTTTGGTCTGTATCGGAACATGACATCCCGAGTTTTGTTGTATATGAAAATACATTTCTTTAAGGAATGCTTTGATAAATTTTATTTATCATATTTTGTTTTGGGAACAAATTCCGCAACTCTTTTAATCAAATGATTACTCTGAAAATTATTTTAAAAGCATAAATTAAATCGGTCTTTTCTGGCCGTGATTTTGGGGATGTCATAATTTGAAATAAGGAGCTACACAATTTCTCATTCGTGGATCGTGTTTCAAGCAATAAGGAGGCTTTTTCAATTTACACAAGTGATGGTCCCTTTTTGTATGATAGCCTTGATGTAATGTTATATACACATCTTCATCAAGGTTGCCATACAAAATAGTGCTATTAATATCTAGTTTCGGAGATACTGTTTCATCATAATCGATGTCTTCTTTCTGATTGTAACCTTTAGCAAATAACCATGCTTTATACATTTCCACACCTCCATCAGATTTATCTTTAATCTTATATTCCAACGACATCCAATAGGTTTTCTATTTGGTAGTAAATTTGTTATTTCCCATGTGTTATTTCTATAAAGAGCCTCCATTTCTTCGTTCATGGCTTTGATCAACTTAGGATTAGAACAACCTCTAAATATGATTGTGGTTCAATGGTTTTATTCAAATTTGAAACAAAGCATTTCCTTTCTTCACTCATAATATAGTATTCTACAGCTTTCTCTATATATTTTTGCTTTCCTTAAATAATAAAATCCTTAAATTTTGTAGGAAGTCTAGACTTTCTTCTTGGTCTAGTAGAATTAATAGAGCGACTATAAATGGCAATAGGACTTAGGATATTTAGACTACTTTCTTCTGTCTGTTCAGTACACAGATGTACTGGGCATATCCTCACCAACCCAAGGCATATATGCTACATCATACTAAGTGGTATCTATAACAGTTCCAGGATGGACTGCATTAATATCATCAATTGAATGGGTCACTCCTAAGTCACCTGATTATGTGGTGTAACACCCGGTTTCGTATTTGCTTCATTATTTTGGGGCTGTGGCCCGATCATCAGTTATCATAAGGCTTATGGCCTTGGGAAGTAAGGATTTGGCCCTTTTCGGGTGCTGGTGCTATAATTTAAGTGATCCAAGTGTTCGATGGTGTTTCGGAGCCCAAGGGTATAATCGTAATTTGCTAGTTCGGGGCTTTATGAATTTTGGGTTCTTGTTTGGGGAGTTTTAAGGAAATGGTGAGTTGTTAGAAGCGTAGGGCTTCTCGTCACCTTTCCGTGGATATAAAGTTCGTGGGAAACGGACTTGGGACGGAGAAGTTAGAGCTGAGCGAAGTTTTGGAGTTTGGAAGGGGCGTACTAGATGTGTACGCAGGGCATACCTGTAGTTGTTGTGTAATCGAGTATGAAAATACAGAATCATATTATTATGAGATTGATGAACACAATATGTAAATATAATATGTATGGCGCGATTATGCTTTCAAAAGAGTACAGAGCACATAGACAATTACAATGAAGTGCTTATCTAACTCTAGTACTGATCACCTATTTATAGGGAACAGAAAGCATACAAAAAATATAAGGGCGTAAACATGATAAGGTTCGACACAAAAGCACCCTTATAATAAAGTTACAAACTAACGAAACTATCCTTTAGACCTTCAACACCTCACAACTAACTTCGACATCAACAGTATCGAGCTGATTGGTCGCAGGTGAGCCTTGAGTACGTCGGGCGTACTCCCTTCAGCCTTAAAACCCTAATTTTTGGTCCTTGGCCCTATTTAAACCTCAATTCTTTCATGAGCCTCATCTTTTATCAACCTCTAAGCCTCCTAAACCCCAGAAGTCGACCCTTAACCTTTATCTTGTATCTTTTAAGCCATTGTGAAGGATCTTGGTGTATTTTGTGCACTTTGAAGAGCTTGGAGCTTGTTGAAGAATCACCACCTGGAAAGGAGCTTGTAGATCTAGAGGTATTCCATCTTTTGCAATCTATTAAAGGTAAAAAGATTCGATCTTGTCATCTCCTTGGTTAGATCTTCTTTTGGGTTTGATTATGGTCATTTTAGCCCCTTTGGTTAGTCCTTATGAGCTAAGGTTGTTTTAGAGGCTTGATCTTGTAGATCTGGACGTTTTAGGTGTCCCAAAGGCATAAAAATGTGATCTTTATGGTGGTTATTGGTCCATGCATGTATTAAGTCAAGTATTAATCTCTTTTTAGTTCTAGAGTCCCATTTGGACATGCATGCATATAAAGTTGGCAACTTTATGTGATTAACCACCTTGGAGAAATTAGATCTGATTTTGGACACAAGTTGTAACAATTGCTAAATTATGTCAACTATTGACGGCCAATCACCGTGAACGTTACTCTAACATAGACCTATTGTACGATACGTTAGTGTTTATTAAGCATGCTTAAATGATATTATGCTTAATAGCTATATATTTATTTTTACTCAAAAACTTATGATTCTCATTCAAGTCCATTTTGAATGCTATTCTATTTGATTGGGGAACCAATTTGGTTAAAACCATATAATTACACCAATATGAACATGAAACCTTAAATTATTGACTTTGACATGATTTCGGATATTGACAATTCATTCCAAGTATAACTTAGAAATTCAATCCGGGTGATATGGATTTCGTCGACAGAAATAGCTCAATATTTCTAAAATTGTGTGCAACTACATACATGTGTATGGAATAGAATTATAAAACAATTAAAAGTATAATTGCTATGATTTGCTATAGTTTTTATGAAATATACATTATATATATGTCATATATGACTTGAAAGGGATCAAGACTAGTATGTTTATCAATGTTGGCACTTCACTTAAAATCTCAGAATATCCTATTTATATACTAAATACATACATAGCAATTTCACAACATAGAAGTATGTATGTATCACATAAACTTTAATGCTTCAACTACTTCAAATTTACCTCCCCACATACATATATCATTATATACATCATAGTACACCAAAATAAATAAATAAATAAAAGAATGTAAATGCTAATTCTTGAAATTGGCTAGTTTCCCTCCCCTACTTCACCTCACTCACGGTCCTCTCTCATCTCTCACATTCACCAAGTGCACATGCACAAAATGGAAGATATGATTCATGGTACATATCTAACCTTCTAAAGATTTCAAAGTACATTCAAAATCAACTAAAAATATCTATAATTTGATTTACGATCATGCCATTGAAATCATAGAAATCTGTTTATGCATCCTCCACTTACTGCATCCAATGATAGAAAGAAAACACACTCACCCTCTTCCTCACTCTTTCTCTTTCTCTTCTAGTTGCCCTCCCAGTGAAATCAAAGAAGAAACAACTTCTCAAAAAGTATGTTGTTGCCCTTTCGATCCAGTCAACTGGAATAACAATCCAAACACCCCTAAATGTTGTATTCCCGCTCTGAGGGTACCATCGATTCAGAAATAAGAAAACATAAGGGAGCTGCCGATTGCAGCCCCCATCGTTCGACGAAGAACCACCCAAACCCCCTGAATGTCGACTGATGTCGATGTGCTTCCCTTTTCTCGAGCTGTGGCTGCCGACGAACCAAATGCACCAAGGAAGGCTCGTCGGAGACCGATCGCTGCTACGGTTCATCACCGGAACAGCCCCCTCGCCATCACAGCTGTTGACGACAACCATCACCGAACCACCTCAGTTTGCTTCTTCAACCGTTCGATCCTTTCCCTTCCTTGATCTGTGGAGAAGACGACGAAGGACTCACCGGAGATCGACCTCCCCGTCCCTCCTCGCGATTTGAATGACCACCATTGGAACTCCTTCATCGCTTCCTGTTCGTTCGTTCCTCCCGATCCCCAAAACAGATGAAGAAGATGAGGCGTCGACCCCTTGGTATAATTGATGAAGTTGTCAAAATCAGTCCCTGCAATTGTAGCTAAAAATCAAAATCAGCCATTTGATAAAACCCTTATAAACCTAGTCCCATGTGATTTAGTCTTTTCAAAAATAGTCCCTAAACTGTTTTAAAAGATCAAAAATGGTCCCTCTGTGTAAAATAAATTACAAAATAACCTTTTCTCTTAAATATAAAATATTTGAAAACAAGTACCTTTAGTTTAAAACATTACCAAACAAACCCGTAAACGTTTTAAAGTCCAAGAAAGGTGACCTCGCGGTTATTCACGAAAAGCTTCATCAAAACGAATCGAGATCGAGATCACGCATCGAATATGAGTTTCTACGGCCCCTCTTTTACAGTTTTAATTTTGGGGGAGAATACATGAGTGTCTATTCAAAGTTTTGATGATTTTCAAATCTTATACATAAAATGGCATCATACTTTATTATTGGTTAATAGTTTATGAAAATATCAATCTAAAAAGTATGAAGCATTAATCAATTATATAAATTATAGTAGAATGCTATAAATGATAAAATTATACCTTGTTGTGATATATTAGTTAATATTAATAAAAATCACATGATTATAAGTAGATTGATATAAAGATATAAGTTATACGACGAATCATAAATTGTAATACTCGTCTTATATATGTGCACGTAAATATTAGGAAAGCATAAAAAAATACACTATATACATAACAAAATATGTTATTCAGTATATTTGTGTACAAAGGAAATGCGCAATGTCTTAAACGACAATAAACAGATATTTGACAAATATATAATAATCAATTGAAAATATACCAAAAATCTATTATTATTATTATACTCTATATCATCGTGTGAAAACAATTTTTAAGTAAACGATATAATTTATTTTTATAATTATTATAAAAATATAAATCATTTTAGTTGCGATAAGAAATTTGTCACATATGATAATATAATTGATTCTCGGATTTTTAGGGATTGATACCTAATAAACTATACATCATACCAATTATGTAACATATCAAATATCGGCATATATGAGTATTAGGCTACGCGAATGAACATCCTTCATATCGACTGAAGTGAGGAACTACTCAAATTATTATCGTTACAATAGTCGAACACTATGCTAAATTCACTATTTAACTAATTTCACCAAGCTTTGGAAATCTTAATAATCTAAGATTCGGGTTAGTGACCTTAGTAAGCAACAAATTTTACGAGTTGAAGTATTGTTGTCATGGATTTTAATGATTGTGTATCCCGTGTGTGCTTGTGGGAGGAATGTATCGAAATGGGTGAAAGGGAGAGTTTTATGTGGGCATAATTTCTTTCATAAGGACAAAATCCTAGATCGAAACCCAATGTATCGAAAGGGGTGAAATGGAGAGTTTTATGTGGGCATAATTTCTTTCATAAGGACAGAATCCTAGATCGAAACCCAATGTATCGAAAGGGGTGAAAGGGAGAGTTTTATGTGGGCATAATTTCTTTCATAAGGACAAAATCCTAGATTGAAACCCACTCTATAACCGTTAATCCATTATTATTCATATTATGCCTATGTGGCTTGTGGAGGAGCGACGTATAGTGTCGATTATGGACAAATTGTTATATTGAATATTTTTACTCGAAGAAGTATAGGTCTAGATTGAGTCAATCCTCCCAATTTGGGCCTAGTGTGTAAGAGTGTTTTGGTTGTTAACTACCTCTCCCTACAACATAATTCTCCATAAGCAGAAAGGGTTCAACTAATAGAATTGTAAAGAGAATGATTAATATTTGTCGTTGAAATTATACGAGTGGTAAAAATATGCGTTTATAATTTACCGGTTATTGAAAAGTATTTTGGGATGAGTTTGCCCCACTGGTTAAGTGTCGATTTCCAAATTAAGTAAGATAATGCTTAATTAATAATACGACACGGATTTACAAATTTATAAAATTTGAAACTTATGAGTTTTACATATAAACTATACGAACGTTTGTACAAAGTTTTAAGAGTAAACTTGGCTATTTTATGTTTTCACAAAGTGTGACATGACTTTATTTTATATAAATTGGTTTTCAAAATCTTTATATAAAGAACATTTCGGTCATGAGAACCGTAAAAATTTGTTATAAGTTTGGTTTACTTATATATTTTGCAAACGGTGTATTTTTGGATTTGAGCAAATGACATTTCTAAATGAGTTTAAATATACTTTTATGACTCAATTATTTTATACTTTAGATAGAAAATTATGTATTTATAAAAGCTGGTCAACCAGATAAGTTTTATAAAACATTTTTGGGTGTAAAAATACTTTGAGTCAAAACCTGTAGAACTCACCAACATTTTTGTTGACGTATCTTAATGCATGTATTCTCAGGTTATTTATAAGGTCGGAAGTGTTTGTACAGAAGATCCTCCGATACTTTGTCATACAATTGTGAACGCCGGATTGTTAGGTGTATGTAGTGATTCAACAATAGTCATTATCAATGTAATTTCTATTTCGATAATAATAGAAGATTATATTTTTACTGTTCAATGTATGTTTAATAACTGTGATTACTGGTGTACGTCGCGCACCTCGGCGTTTCCGCCGGCGGCTGAGGGTGTGACACAAGTCTTAACAGATTAAGTGCTTATTTGGAAGTTGACTTTGGGTTGGTGAGTACGCTGGGCGTACAAGCATGTATGCGCGCGTACAAGCCTCCCAAGCAGTATGTTGAGCGTACATGATGAGTATGCCCCACGTACTCAGCAGACTTGGGCCTTTGTGCGTTATGGGCTTCGGTTTGGGCTGGGCTGTGTTGGGCCATTTGGAATTCATTGTTGGTTTGTTGTATCTTGTTAGGACTTCTTGGGTAAAGGCCCATGAAAGGAATTAGGCCCAATTTGGAAAATTGGGCCATATTTGGGCCTTAGATGTTTATTTCGGATTTTTGGGCCTTTTGTCATCTAGTTTGGGCCTTGGTTTTGGACCAAGCTTGAGGAAGGGTAAAATGGTATTTTACCCTAAGTTGGACTCATAGTGTGAGTTAGGGGTCGTTTGATAATTATTGACTGAGTTAGAGCTGACTGAGTTAGAAGCTGACTGGGTTAGAAATTCTGACTGAGTCCATATTGGACTGAGTTTATGTTGTTTGATTATTTCTCTGACTAGCTATGTTGAATGAGGTAAATGACCATTTTACCCTTTTTTATTTGTGTCGGCTAAAATATATCTGTTTTCGTACGAATTTAATTTCGTCGAACATTATTAAATTAATAGTTTAATACAAAACTAAGTTTTATTTTTTAAAAAAATTAAAAGTTTTGAGTAATGAATACAAAACTAAGTTTTATTTATTTTAAAAACAATAATAACCAAATATAAATGGACTTTGTCATTATGTCAAGAACCATGAGTAGATGGACACGCAGCAACCGCAAATAATAAATTAATACACCCTATATTCTCCCATCTCTTTTCATTTCGTTCAAAATTGTAGAGAGAGAATAGGATCCGACCTAATCTCCCAAAAAAAAGTTACAGCTCTTTTTCAAGGAAGTTCCATGCCTCCTGAATCATCGACCATGATAACACCATCGCTCCAAATCTCAGCTTCTGTTTCGTTCCGATGGGAAGAACAACCAGTTAACCACCGTGAACAAATGTCTGGAGCTTCCTCCAAGGATGACAATGGTGGAATCCAACATTATTACCAAAATACCCCCACCCTCTTCTTATCCTTGTTCTATTCGATTGATCACAATTTTCATTCCTCCTAAACTCAATCAACAGGAAAAAGGGTGCTTCCCTCTCTTTCTCTCTCATGAAGACACGATTTTTTGGTTGGGGTTAAACGGATGAAAAAGGTTGCAGTGTTTGTGGTGGGTTTCCTAGTTCTTGTATTCGTGAACAGGGCATGTATATGACTGGTTTTGTGGTGCCGGAATGTTGATGGATCTGTAATGCAAAGGGCAAAAATGTAAAGAAAAAAAATAGGACCGAGTCAGCTACTTTCATCTCACGTACTGGGTCAGAGGGTGCTGACCGAGTCTCATGTTTTTATTGTACATATCAAACACACTGACCTTCATTGAGCTGACCGAGTCATCTATTTTTGTCTGACCAGACCCGGTCAGACCCAAATCAAACAGGCCCTTAGTGGCTAGATGTTGATGTGTTGTCCTTTTTGGTACATGATAGTGCGTGAGCCATAGTGGATCTGCAATCAGAGATTATTCATGGGATCAGCTGTTGATGGGGTGTTGTCCTGATATTGGCGGTTCGGGGATCTGGCAGCCTGTAGCCAGGGATCATCTTTATGGTTCGGCATTGCGAGGTGAGTTTTACTCACTGTACTTTCGGGTCGAAGGCACCAAGGTCGGCCCTTTGGTTTGATAACATGATATTGCTGATATACTGAGTATGGAATAGATATGCATGAGTATGCTAGTTATTGATATGCTAGTCTGGTAGATCTGTAGGACTATCTATGATTTTGTCTGCATGATTATTTGTATATGTTGGTTATCTGTCAACTTATTGTGTTGGTTGAGGTTATATTGCTTCGTGTTGTAGCCAACAAACCCTGGAGCATTCCAGATATGAGCTGAGGGCCGGGTAGGGCACGCCAGACTCATACTAAGGGCTCAGTAGCATTCTAGATACAAGCTGAGGACCCGGTGGTATGCTAGACTCGTACTGAGGGCTTGAGGGTATCGGAGCAATCCATATATGAGTTGAGGGTCGGGTAGGGCATGTCAGACTCATACTAAGGGCTCAGTAGCATTCCAGATACGAGATGAGGAT